GGGAAAGAAGCATTTTTGAAGCCATCTTCTCCTTTGACCTCCTGTCAAAGCCTCTCTGTGACGCTGCGGCTGATACCAGACAACCCGCTCTTCTAAGAGCCATCCACCTTAGACGCAAATAAGCATTCCAGCTTCCTGTCTTCACCTCGAGGGATTTCAGACTGGACGGGTCTTATCAGAACTACAGTGGTGTGAAAAACTGTTCGCCCCTTCCTGATTTCTTATCCTTTTGCATGTTTGTCACACAAAATGTTTCTGATCATCAAACACATTTAACCATTAGTCAAAGATAACAAGAGTAAACACAAAATGCAGTTTTGAAATGATGGTTTTTATTATTTAGGGAGAGAACAAAATCCAAACCTACATTGCCCTGTGTGAAAAAGTAATTGCCCCCCTTGTTAAAGAATAACCCAACTGTGGTGTTTCACACCTGAGTTCAATTTCTGTAGCCACCCCCAAGCCTGATTACTGCCACACCTGTTTCAATCAAGACATCACTTAAATATGAGCTGCCTGACACAGAGAAGTAGACCAAAAGCTAGGCATCATGCCAAGATCCAAAGAAATTCAAGAACAAATGAGAATAAAAGTAATTGAGATCTATCAGTCTGGTAAAGGTTATAAAGCCATTTCTAAAGCTTTGGGACTCCAGAGAACCACGGTGAGCGCCATTATCCACAAATGGCAACAACATGGAACAGTGGTGAACCTTCCCAGGAGTGGGCGGCCGACCAAAATTACCCCACAAGCGCAGAGACAACTCATCCGAGAAGTCACAAAAGACCCCAGGACAACTTCTAAAGAACTGCAGGCCTCGCTTGCCTCAATTAAGGTCAAAGTTCACGACTCCACCATGAGAGAGAGACTGGGCAAAAATGACCTGCATGGCAGATTTCCAAGACGCAAACCACTGTTAAGCAAAAAGAACATAAAGGGCTCGTCTCAATTTTGCTAAGAAACATCTCAATGGATGCCAAGACTTTTGGGAGAAGACCTTGTGGACTGATGAGACAAAAGTAGAACTTTTTGGAAGGCAAATGTCCCGTTCCATCTGGCGTAGAAGTAACACAGAATTTCAGACAGAACATCAAACCAACAGTAAAATATGGTGGTGGTAGTTTGATGGTCTGGGGTTGTTTTGCTGCTTCAGGAACTGGAAGGCTTGCTGTGATAAATGGAACCATGAATTCTACCGTCTACCACAACATCCTGAAGGAGAATGTCCGGCCATCTGTTCGTCAACTAAAGCTGAAGCCATCTTGGGTGCTGCAGCAGGACAAGGACCCAAAACACACCAGCAAATCCACCTCTGACTGGCTGAAGAACAACAAAACGAAGACTTTGGAGTGGCCTAGTCAAAGTCCTGACCTGAATCCTATTGAGATTCTATGGCATGACCTTAAAAAGGCGGTTCATGCTAGAAAACCCTCAAATAAAGCTGAATTACAACAATTCTGCAAAGATGAGTGGGCCAACATTCCTCCAGAGCGCTGTAAAAGACTCGTAGCAAGTTATGGCAAACGCTTGATTGCAGTTATTGCTGCTAAGGGAGGCACAACCAGTTATTAGGTTCAGGGGGCAATTACTTCTTCACACAGGGCAACGCAGGTTTGGATTTTGTTCTCTCCCTAAATAATAAAAACCATCATTTCAAAACTGCATTTTGTGTTTACTTGTGTTATCTTTGACTAATGTTTACCGTATTTTCCAGACTATAAGTCGCTACTTTTTCCCACGCTTTGAACCATGCGGCTTAAAATGAGGTGCGGCTTTAGTCAACCAGAAAGGATGGATGCTGGACAGTCTAATGAAGGAATGGTTAAAGGAGCGCTACGGAAAGCGCCCAGGAGGATTGTTTTCACAGTAAAACGGCGCTGCTCGTTTTCCCAGCTTCACCCGGGGATGATGACAGCGACACTGACATCGCCACAGAACAGGTGTGTGACGAAGCTCTTCTGAGGCTGTTCAACTCCGACACTGAAGAAGAGGACTTCAGTGGTTTCAGTGAGCAAGAGGACGATGAATAAACTAATCAATAACTTTTCAGTTTTGTTTGATACTGATCAGTTCAGTTACGTTCAGTTAAACTACGTTTTCAATTCAGTAGATACCTGCGGCGTTTAGCCCGGTGCGGCTTATATTGAGGTGCGCTCTACAGTCCGGAAATTACGGTAAATGTGTTTGATGATCAGAAACATTTTGTGACAAACATGCCAATGAATAAGAAATCAGTGTGACAGTGGATCAATGCCACACCTAAATACTGGACAGATCTACTGATCTTATACCTATAATTGGAATGGGACACATTCATGAGGTATTGAAGGTGTTTATTTGTATACTGATGACCCGCTAAGATGGGAAGTATGGTATTTATTGTTGGGAAGAACTGAACAAGGAAAGAGCTGTGGAACAAACATTTGTATTGTGGGCGTGTGCTTACCTTTACTGTTTCCTGCCAGCAGGTGTGAGCAAAATAGTCCTCGAGGGCGTGTGGATCTTTTATAGGTTCCAGAGGGATATACCAAGAGGAGGATTGGGTTATTTTAATATGGTGAGAAGTACTGATGTATGTTAAAGACAGCTTATTTATAGAAATTAATGTGGAATGTAGGTATTTTAAAGTAACTATGATTGTGTATATATTTATTAGCTTTTACATTTAGTGTTGAGGTTTTACGTGATGGTTTATCCCAATTAGGGAGAAGTATAAAAGCTGACGTTTTCACTGAGAAGAGGTGAGGTGTGTGGGGGATGAAGAAGTCTGTGCAGCAAAAAATAAAGAAAAGAACACCATTCTCCTGTCCTCTGGTTTGTGATGTTACTCTGACCGGAAAAGGGTGGCTTGCCAACTCCGGGTCGGGGGAGAGGTCCTACCTCAAGTGGAGGAGTTTAAGTATCTCTGGGTCTTGTTCACGAGTGAGGGTAGGAGGGATCGGGAGATCGACAGGCGGATTGGTTCGGCGTCTGCAGTGATGCGGACGCTGAGCCGATCTGTCGTGGTGAAGAGGGAGCTGAGCCAGAAAGCCAGGCTCTCGATTTACCGGTCGATCTACGTCCCAATCCTCACCTATGGTCATGAGCTTTGGGTAATGACCGAAAGAACGAGATCGCGGATACAAGCGGCCGAAATGAGTTTCCTCCGTAGGGTGGCCGGGCTCAGCCTTAGAGATAGGGTGAGGAGCTCGGACATTCGGGAGGGACTCGGAGTAGAACCGCTGCTCCTCCGGATCGAAAGGAGTCAGTTGAGGTGGTTTGGGCATCTGGTCAGGATGCCTCCTGGACGCCTCCCTGGGGAGGTGTTTCGGGCATGTCCTGCCGGCAGGAGGCCCCCGGGTCGACCCAGGACACGTTGGAGAGGTTACATCTCCAATCTGGTCCGGGAACGCCTTGGGGTCCTGCTGGAGGAGCTGGTGGAGGTGGCCGGGGAGAGGACGGTCTGGAGCTCCCTAGTTGGGATGCTGCCCCCGCGACCCAGACATGGATAAGCGGAGGAACACGACGACGACGACTCTGCTAAATGGATTGCTTCTAAGGACCGGTCGGCCAAGATAACAATCAGGAAGGGGCCACATAGTTTTTCACACCACTGTATCTACTATCTACTATCATTAGCTGCTGTGGCCCCCAGACTCTGGAACTCTCTCCCCCTGAGCCTGAGATCAGTGGACTCAGTGGTCTCCTTTAAAAAGCTGCTGAAAACTCACATGTTCAAGCTGGTTTTGGTGTGACCTTCATCACCCTCTCCTTGTTCTGCTCTCCCCACCTATTCCACCTTCCTCAGGATCCACTGATTTCCCTCTTTCTTATTCACTCTCTCTCTTTCTCTACATTTTAATCACAATTGCCTATTTTTTGCTCATTTTAAATATATTTGTAATCATTTTCTAAATTATTTTTTATATTTGACGTTTTTTGTTTTTGTGAAGCGCTTTGTGGTTTTTATCTTGAGAGGCGCTATAGAAATGATATTTTCTTCTTCTTCTACGGGTTCCTGAAATCAGAGGTTCACTCCGCCGGCAGTGACCATCGACCCCCCGGATTGGACGAGGGTGCGTAGACTTGGCACGAAAGATTGCGTCTGATGCTGTTTTTAATAAACAACTCTCTAGTTTAGAACAAACAACAATTTCTTTTGCACCCAGATTTCACAATCTCTCTCAGATACAAAGAACGGTTGCTACAACATCTAGCTTCCATCACAACACCTCACATCCATCACATCACATCTCATTATTCATCTCTTGTCATGTATAAATTGTTCATTTAGGAAAAAGAATAAGGTTAAACTGCTGAATCTGCCCTTTTCTATAGTCAACTTGAATATTGATTACTAAGCGGGGCATAAAAGCCACAGGTTGCCCTAAAAATTGTAATAAAACATAATAATAATATTAAATAACATAACAGGTAGATCAGGATGTAGATTAAAAGAATCGCACGCATTTATCTTCACACTCAAACCCACTAAACTATTAATCACTCTCATTCCCACTCTCATTGGGGCAGCAGTAGCTCAGGTGGTAGAGCGGGTTGCCTCATGATCGGAGGGTCGTGGGTCCGATTCCAGCTCCTGCCAGGGGTATCCTGCTGTTGTGTCCTTGGGCAAGACACTTCAACCAACTTGCCTGTGTAAGTGGTCGTCAGAGGGGCCGACGGCGCCAAATGGCAGCCTCGCCTCTGTCAGACCTCCCCAGGGCGGCTGTGGCTACAAGTAGCTTACCATCACTAGCAGTGTGTGAATGTGAGAGTGTGTGAAAGCGTCTTTGAGTGTCTAGAAAAGCGCTATATAAGTTCAATGCATTATTATTATTATTATTATTATTCCCAAAAACACTAAGCTCAAAAAAGACTCAGGTATATGATAGTTTTCTTAACATCACAGTCAACCTTAACATGACAGTATTCCAGTGGGAATAGCTATGGCTTCTACTTAAAAACAGTCATGCCCTGTCTACCAGTGACGTTTACTGTGCAGCTTGGCATGTTTTATTCACCTGGTGGGACTCTTGTAGCAGCAATATGAGCTCCATGCGTACAGAAGCCAGTCCGCCACCGTGGGAGCCGTGCAGGCTGCAGTAGCTCAGAAACATCCTCAGTAATGGCTGGTTACTCTGCAGCCAGAGTCTCCTGCTCCTCTGGACATCGCCGCGGGGGCTCCCAGGCTGAGAACGAGTCAACTTTATTAGTTTCCTCAACATTTTATTAAATATTTATCAATGTCTGCAGGATTCAAACAATACTGCAACCCTACTATGCAAAGTCCCCAGTTTTTTAAACTAATTAAGTGCATGCAGTTACTGTGATGAATCGATAAATGACAAACAGAGGGTAAGAATACATGTGCTGATGTTTTTTTTTTACAGCAAGGAGCCACCCACCTGTTCCTCCTCCACCAGGCCGGAAACCGGGGCATCGCTCTGGACAGATTGTTCTGGCAAACGCGGCTTATAGCTGCAACAGCGCTGATGAGCCATCACCTGGAGCAAAAACAGGGGTTTATCATTTATGCATGCTAGACAAAGCAAAGCATTTTACCAAAACATCAAATCGTTTTGCATGGGAGAAAACTACTGGTGTCACAGCCAGCGTGATGTTTATTTGAACCGACGCAGACTGGAAATGTTAAAACAATAACATGAGCTGAGGAGAAACATGTGGGAGTTCTGCAAAATGAATGTTTTACTGAGCAAACAGTAAAGAAAAGCATTGGTTATTCAATATAGAAAGCACCGGTTTGCTCCCGTACCTCTCTTTCGAGCCACTGGCAGAGCTGATAACGCAGCTTCCCTCCGTCCAGCTCATACCCGGTCGACAGTGTCCGGAGCTCATTGGTCATAATCTTCAAGCATGCTGTGAACTTCAGCTGAGCCAAAAAGATATCATCAGACGGTGCGATAAAGTCCCCGTTGTCTCCGTTACCACTTTTCACCGTTTCTGCTGTCGTCAAGGCGGAGTCCTGCCTGTCCTGAAACACGCTGTTGTCTGCAGACTTAACCGTTGTTTTTGTTTCTTCTTGATCCTCGTCGTCCTTGTCACTGTCCCACTTCAGCTCCAGCGACTCATCTGGAAGGGTCAGTGATGGCTGGCTCCAGTCAAAACTCAGTACCGAGTCTGATTGGCTGTTGCTGTTCCCGTCTGAGTGGTAGCCATTCAGGCCCGGCGGCGACCAGTCAGGATCTGATGGTTGTCCATTCCTGCTCCCGATGCTGAGTTCCGGTGCGATGCCCGTGCCTTCCTGACTGGAGAGTTTGCAATGCTTGTGGACTTTGGGCATTTTGGACAGGACTTCAAGTGCTAGCATGGGGCATCCGGCATGCAGGTGAGCATATGCAGCTGTGAAAAACAGTCTCCTCTCGTCCAGACTAATGGAGTCGGCTCGACGACATTCAGCAGTCAAAGCCACTTTTGACTTGTCTGAGGAGCTAAAATGTCGGCGGAGAAGAAGAGGGTGTGTCCGGAGATAGATGAAGAAGTTGAAAACCTCGGGGTTACATGCAGACATGACAGAGGAACCTGTAAAAGATACCAAGAGACAAGTAAATGGATCATTGTCTGAATAAATTACACTCACAATGTAAAAAGGAGCGCTAACGCGGTTCATTCTTGCCGAAACCCGTCAGACTGTCCAACGCAGTTTAGCATGGTTAAGGTGGTGCCAGAAGACCTTTTTTTAATACTGGAAACATTTCGTTAGCAGTAGCTCGGGGTAGAATTTGCAGTAGCAGGGCTACATTTGAACTTTTCCATGTGTGAGAGCAGGGGTGGGGGTGGGGTGATTCTTCAGCGTGAGATACTGGAGGTACAGCGTGTGTGTGAAGAGGGTCAGATGCCAAAATTGACCGGTTCATATTTTTACATTTGATTTGTAACGCTTTCCTGGTTGTAGGTGCCAACTGTTGAAGGGCGTGTGTGTCACCCCGGGTTTCCACGGGAGCCGTCAGCAGCACGTTACTGCAGCGGCACGTCTTGCTCGCGTAAGCTGCTGCTTGGCTCTTCCCACGAGACGCGAAGCAGCAGAGGAGCAGCTGACAGAGCACGAAGTCACACGAGTGACTTCGTCAGTAAACACAACAACAAGCAGGTGAAAACTACAACATGGTTTGTGTTTTATGTTCTGTCCGTTTTATAATCGCCAAAACCGACCTGAAAAACAAAGGAGACCGCTAGCTAGGTGATAACTTCTCACGGGGACGCACAGTTAGTAACTTTTTTTAAAAGTAAAGCAACCGGAAGGCAGTACGTTCTTTATTCTGAAAATCTCGGGAGCTTCTCTCCATTTCCGCGTCCGATTTCCTGTCTTTCCTTCCCCAAAAATGTCGAACTTGACCCGTTTCAGAGGCGTTGCGCGTAGAAAATAGAACCGGCGCGTAAAGGCCGCGACATGCTGCTCCTGAGACGCGGCCGACTCGCGCTGCTGACGGCTCCAGTGGAAAAGGTTCTGTTGACCACAGCGGCTCCTATCAGCAGCTATGACGTGCTGCTGCAGTAACGTGCTGCTGACGGCTCCAGTGGAAAGCTGGGGTCACTATTATTTAGATGCAGAGAATACTTGGTTATAGAATTATTTTGGTTTAGACGACACTGGTGGCATCCCCCCCCAAGAACGAACAGTTTTGATTCTCCGCGAACATTTCAACTAAACAGACTTACAAAGGAAAGCAGGTAGGAAACTGCACAGACCCTTTGGTATGCGACAGTAAACTTTTCCAGCTGCCTATTTCAACAACAAGGTAAATTTGGTTTTGAATTATAAGAAACCATTAAGCCAATTATAATCTGGTTCAATGGCTTATGCCTATAGGGATATTTGTTTACACAGGTAACAAACTCGTTCATTTCCATTGTTCCTTGTTATTGAGAGAGCTCTGTAAGCCCTTCAATTTGTACTTGGTGGGTTTATAAAGGTTTATTCTACTCAGTATAAAAAAGCTTTACTATTTAACCACAACATGTAAAAACTGTATTACTGAATCAGTTCTGGAGCTAGAATCATCTGACAATCACCGCCGAGCTTTTAGACCACTTCACACGTACAGTAGAAGAGCTTGTGCACTGACAAACCGTACTCTGTAGTTATGTAAACGTAGAAAAGGCTTCGAGCTACGAGTTAAAGAACATTCAGCTTTTTATGTGGTTATAAAATAGCGTCAGAAGACATGACAGCTTGTACTGAAACCCTGGCTAGGAGAGAACATTTTTCTTTGAAGTAGCAGAGTAATATTCAGCTTCATGGGAGTCAGGGTTATGTTCTCTGTAAACACGCCAGGTGTGGTTTGAGTAGATCATTTATAAAACACCAAGCTAAGGGCAGCTAATCCAAGGCCGGTGCTGCTTTTAAGCCAAATGAAATAAAAGTTCATGCTGAGTTCAGGTTTTCATCCATTCTTTAAATGTTATTTCAGATTCTTCTCAGCAGGATCATATGAGGTACTTCATTAGCAGAGTACTTACAGGAAACGGTACTAAGCAAGTTCATTTGACTACAACTCTTGCTGCTCTGGTTCATTTATGTGTTTAGAAGAAAAGAAAATTCACACGACGACACAAAGAAATTGCAACTGCTGCATTTTGGAAACATTTTCTTTTTCAATTTTAAAACTATATATAGTAAAATTTGTTTTAATAATCTTAATAAAATAACAACAAGGAACTAATGTGAAACAAGGTATCTGCAGGTTTAAGGGAGCCAAATTTAAGACTTTTTAAGACCTTTTTTAAGGCCACTTTGACCAGATTTAAGCTATTTAAGCAAGGCAGCAGTAGCTCAACAGGTTGAGCGGGTGGTCCAGTAATCGGAAGGTTGCAGGTTCGATCCCAGCTCTGGACAGAGAATTCTGCTGTTGTGTCCTTGGGCAAGACACGTAACCCACCTTGCCTGCTGATGGTGGTCGGAGGGACCGGTGGTGCCTGTGCTCAAGCTATAATTTCCAGCTATTGCCTGGAACCGGTGCTAACCACGCCGCAATTGTGAGATTAGCCATCCAGTTACCATTAAACTTCCACTTCCCCATGGCGCAAGCTCCCACTAGCTTAACCAGCTAACGTGCTCATCTAAAAATAGCCCCCTTTCACAACCAACTGAACGTGTACGGTTCCGCTTACGCCAACATCGTACACAAAAAATGCTGAACACTAACTAGAATTTCACAAAAATTTTATAGAAATAGAAGAATCTTGTTTATTGGGTCTTTGGTAATTTAAGACCTTGGAAACTGTATTTATGGTTATTTGTCATTTTGAAGGATTTTTAAGGCCTTAAATCTGGAAAAGCAAATTTAAGACTTTTTAAGGACCCGCAGATACCCTGGAAAAACTGGAATATGGAAAACGACCTTTAAAACAAATCAAATATGTATGCTAAAGAAAGCAACTCAAAGAGTATATTCCAGCGTCATATTTACTTTGTGAGGACACTGAGCTTTTCTGGTTAGGCTGCTCGATTAGAGTGTCCAGCGCTCTGCTGTAGTCCTCCAGGACCCAGTAAGCTATGCTTCGCAGGAATGGATCTGGATTGGCTGGAATCTGAAAAACACAAAAATATTACTAATCTGGTAAATTATCAGACAGGAGGATAAACGTATGTGGTTAAATTAGACGTGTTAAATAAAAAAAGAGCAATCGATGTTGGTGTATATTATTCACTCTGCTCTTTACCTGTTTGTCGTGTCCCAGTACGTATCGCTGGAGGATCTTTTTGTAAGTGGACGCCGCCTCAAACTCTGACTCATACAGTCTTGAGATCACCAGAGCCAACTGTAGGTCCTGCAACTTCTCTAAACACACCTGGAGGGGAATACAAACCATTCACAGCCATAGTTAGAACTAGTCTCTGAAGCTTAGGTGTATAGATGAGTATAAATGAAGAGAAGGAGTCCAGATCGGGGCCATCTTTTGACCAAAGCCTTAATGAAACTATCTGGAGAATCAGGTCCAAACAGATACGATTGAATATGGAACCACGTAATAAAAATCTATATTTAAAAAAAACCTTTAGAGGGGTGCAAAATGAAGGTACAGTGTTTCTATAAAAGCTATATTTTAATTAAAACGTAATCAAATATTGGTTTTGACGGGCACAACACTGGGTTTATAGCCTGGCGAGCCTTCGTTGACGGCTCTCGGCCGTGGGGCGGGTTCTACCGTTGTCTTTCAAACGATCTCCGCATCATACTGGACAACGAACAACGTGACGTACTCACCGCAACGGATGTCGGTAAACGAGACAGTCCGCTGTTGAAGCAGGCAAAAATACATCCTTTATCTAAATAAAGAAATTAAATACATCTATCTGCTCCTGATTTTAATAAAGCCCAAGTCCAATTAGTCCAAAATTGATGTAAATGCCCTTTTAAAGGAGTTGTCGCCAGGTTTTTCCACTCTGTCGCATCATTCCGCCCACCAGACGAATAGAGGGCCCTGATTGCCTTCGTGCTTGACGCTCAGCTTTAAGGGGTTGGAATGGGGGATTAAACAACCTAACAGTTCCCGAGCGCAGCCACAGCTCACCGCTCATCACTGCAATGGGTCAAATGCGGAGATGACTTTCACCAGTGTGTGATGAAGACTATGGGACTAACTTTAATTGGCTCAATGGGGATCCATGATGTGGGGTTTAGAAAAAAGAACAGATGACAAAAATAAATCCGCCCCTATATAACAATTACATAGAGCCGGTCATATTACATACGGAATATACTAAGAATTATCCCTGAAGTGAGTATTCCCAATTAAACAACTGGCCACTGGCCAAAGCACGATAACTCGTACTGGACGAGAGAAACAGCTGAAGGCTTACCCCTCTTGCCAAGGGAAACAGATGGCAAACATATCGGCTCCGAAGGGACATACACACTTTACATTTAAAAGATGTTGATACACAGCGACACGCAGGGGAAGAAGAGAATTCACTGGAACACCCCACTTTAAATTATGCAACTTGGAACTGGATGTTCACCCAGCCACGAGCCACGGTGTGCCCTGGATTCATAAACCATGCAAGACTGGGTAGACATATACCCTGCTGGGGAATTAGAGGATGAATTAGACCCCTTTAAGAATGTGTCTTCATGGAAAAACCTTATATAATATATATAATATAAAAATTCAAATTCAAAAATATTTTATTAATCCCAGAGGGAAATTCAATTGTTTCAGTAGACACAATTCTAAGATCAGACATACATACATAGACACATGACAAGAATTGGTAAATGTGGTTATTCGCAACAAGAGTCGTGCTACTGTTATAGATCAAGAGGGTTTATATGAGGATAGAGTCAGGGGGAGGGGAAAAAAGGCACTTCAGAGTTACCCCAGACAGAGAGGATAGCTTTGCTATGCAAAAAAAAAAAAAACACCTCAGACAGATATGCACACAAACTTCAGACGATACACAACATAAGTGTCCACTAGGTGGGGAGGTAGGGTTGGGACTCTCCTCACTTCAGTGCGTGCAGCCGCAAGAGCAGCGCTCATCACCTCCGTTTGGACAGGGGAGGGAGATAATGGGTTAGAGAGCACATAGATACGGTTCCACGGCCTTCACCGGTCACAGTCCCGCCCAGGCTGGGATAGGGAGAAAGGGTTTCCATAGCGACGGCAGCATTCCACATTTCTTCTGAGGGGGGAGTTTTCACTTCAGCCTCACAGGCTGTCACCAGATTCAGGTAACAAGAATTGTTTTGGGTACAGACAGAGATAATTTCCTCTCTGCCTTAGAGTTATGTTGGTCTTCAACCCCTCCAGGTCCAATAATGGCGTTATCAAACTATTCCAATCCGTGCTGATCCATCAACTCTCTCCTTGATCGAATCAACCTTTTGTACCAGAGCCTGAATCTCAGCCAAAGTTCCAAGCTTACGACTCATCTCAACAATTATACGAGTTTGTGAGTTTACAGCACGATGCATTCCTTCCCTGAGCTCCGGGAATAGGCCAATATTCCTCGAAAGCTCGTTAATTTTCCGGTATGCCAGGTAACCGCTCAGGCCAAACAGCAGGAATCCCGACACCAAAACGACGAATATCCAAACATCTTCAGAATCCTCTACAGACCGTTGAGAGAGGCAGATCAGGTTCCACTGTTTTCAGGAGTCCCAGCTGGCTCTGTCCCAGAGGGGCATCCAGGGGCCCCTTCTCCCGTTCTCATCGTTGAAAAAATTTTGTCCATCACGTTGAGAGACCAACTGACCAGATCCATGTTTAATAATTTCCAGTTTCCAGAAAAAATGCAGAGAAGTGCAGTGCACAGGCAGACAGGACAGAGAGCCTTGGGAGGAGCAGGGAGGAAGAGGAGAAAAAAGCGTCTGTACTCTCCAAAAGCCAGAAGAAGAAAAAAAGAAAGCAGCCCAAGTTGTTTTATAATGGACTTGAATTATAACAGGATGATGACTTATTGTGCTGTGTGTGTCTACCCACATGCTTACTTATACCATAAATGTTGGCAAGATTAATAAGAGGCTCCTGAATGGGTGCTGTGATAAGAACAGAGCATTTGCAGGGGAGGGACTAGATTTAGAGAAAGGAAGTTACAAAAGGTTATAAGAAAACAAGTCAAGAGGGACAGAACCTCATTTGGAGCCAGCAGAATTCACAGCCTGATCCAAGATGAGCAGTTGTAATGAACGTGGAAACAGAAGTGAGCCTATCCCAGGGTTCCCAGTTATGGTAAAGTGCTGGAGAGAACCGATATCTTAGCCTTATCCTTAGCTGCAGCTTGATAGTGGAAAACTATGTAGGAAAATTAAAAAGCTTGGTGTATGCTGCTATAAAGTGCTGCAGATAGGCACGCTCATACCCCTCCAGATGTTGGATTTTTCTCTATTAGGGGAAGAGGGAATAATGAATGTGACAAATCAGGTAATCGGAATATTAGGCTTAGCGGTAACTGTTCACTCCTTTGAGTGATGTGTGGATGGTGGCGGCTAATGGGGGATTAATAGGTACTGCCAGACCTCCAACAAAGGGCCTATGCTTCAGCTTCGACTTCGGACAGTCCTGATTCTGTGGAGGCTGTTCGGAACCTCCAGCTTGTTCCTGTGGTCCTCAGTGTGGTCATGTATACTTATTGTGTTCCAGGGTGCTGAGGTGATTATTCAGTGTCGGCACCACCTGGAGTGAAGACATTTCCTGCCGACAGTGGCTGGGCTAAGATGTTCGCTATGTTATCTATACAGTCACGTCCAGAATCCAATTCAAAATTCTCCTATATACATTCAAAGCCATCCATAACCTAGCCCCCTCGTACCTCTCGGACCTCCTTCATCCCTCAACCTCCACCCGTTCCCTCAGGTCCTCCTCCTCCATCCACCTCTCTGTCCCACCTCTCCGTCTGGTCACCATGGGGAGCAGGGCCTTCAGTTGCTCTGCTCCCCAGCTCTGGAACTCCCTCCCTCCTGACCTCCATAACATTGACTCCCTCGCTCTCTTTAAAACCAGACTCAAAACCCACCTGTTCCGTCTAGCATTCCAATAGTTACTCTCTTTGCTCCAATCTTTCTGTTTGTTTTATGCTGTTTTATCTTTTATTGTGTATTTAATCTCTGTCTGTAAAGTGTCCTTGAGTGTTTAGAAAGGCGCTGTTGAAATAAAATGTATTATTATTATTATTATAGTGGAAAACATAACAGGGCTCACCCTTTCAACAGGAGAGCCCCCCAGGACTGCATGAGGAGACGAATTCAACAAGGAACTCACCCCGCCCTCACACTCTGACCTGTACATGACCCTTTGCTCGTGTCTAGAATTCTTTATGTGTAGATGGTGTTCCTGTGTGACCTTCCGACCCGAGCCCTCAGGTCCACACACCAGAACCTTCTAGAAGTTCCAAAGACCAGATATAAAAGTCGAGGTGATCGCTCTTTCCAGACTTTTGCACCTCGACTTTGGAATGGTCTTCCTTTATCCAGTATTGACAGTCTGGACACTTTGAAAAACAGATGAAGACCCTTTTATTTAAAGCTGCTTTTAACTAAACCTTTGATTTTATTATTTTCAACTCAAAATGCCCCAGAATTAGGGGGTCAATAATCAACTAGGTTTTTACGAGAGACGACGCTTAGCGGTTCTCTGAGGAAAAAGAACGATAGGTGGAGTAAGTCCTTAGACAGGGCTGTCCTCCCTGAATAGGAAAGAGTTAACAGTGAAACTGCTTCATGAGCTACTCTTTAAAGGGATTTTACGGAGTTTTGAATTTCTATGCTCGTGATTGCCCCCTCAGGCCAAAAGCGTAACGGCAACTTCAACAGTAGGCTTGTGCATGAGGCACGCATGCTGTACGTTCACACACCTTAACGAAAATAACAGCTGAGACAGTCCCTTGTGTGTGTGTGGGGGGGGGGGGGGGGGGGGGGGGGCAGAGGACAGGAGAAAGCGCAGCTATTTAATTAAATAATTTGGTTCTGTACCTTTCTCTTCAGCACAGCGACAAAGGTTTATGATGGGTCAGTCCTCCTGCATGCTCAGATCATTCCCTTCCCTTGCTTGAAAAATTGTTCCAAAATGAAAGTTGAACCCACATCTTTTTTATCTGTGAATTCAATGCTGTTCGGCGAGTCTCAAATAAAAATTTGGGAATCTTACTGTAAAAAAAATATATCATTAATGTAAAAAAGAAACCCTAAATAAACTATGTTCACAGCCAGAATCAAACCCAGGTCTTCTGCATGAGAGTCCGACGTGTTACTAGGCAAGCTAAAGCGCCAGTGGCGTCCTTTGTATCTGTAACATTTATATGCTTGATGACAGCTGAAACAACGTTCAAAGAACGGTTCGGAGTAAAAATG